TTAACTAATTGCTACGGTAACAGAAAAAACATTTAATACACTGTGCTTACACCAAGTAACAGTTATTAGTACCCGATCAGTGCCTTGTATTACTGTGATAAGCACAAGATAAAGCATTTAAAACAGCATTTGAAGTGAACGATATCAACCTCATATAAATCAATAAACTGAATGAATATACATATAAAGGCATAAAAAATTTTAACCTTGTATTTAGGGAGCAACAATATTCGTTTCATAAAACACGAATAAGGAAGGATTTCTGAGGGTATTAGCACATAAATTTACAATGATATCCCGTTAATGAGCAGCGTAGGTTAACATATAGTTAATTACGAGAAAACTAATGTTTCTTTGAGCTGTGAATTTCTTTCATTCGAAAAATTTACGGATTTTGCAAAACGTCTTATGCAAGTGATGTCAATATATTGATGAATGAAACAAAAGTATAGCACACTCAAAATGCACCAATCTTATTTGTATATTAAAACTGCAATCATATTTCATATCTAAATCTTATTTAGTAGGTTTTCATATATCTCGAAACATCACAACCTCTTTCCACATTTTAAATCAGTGAAGGCTTATGAACAAAGCGATTGAGAAACAATCTTTTGTTAATGTTATACAAACCCCGCAATACATATTGTTTGCCCCTATAGAGATCATATGTCCTAGTATTTGTATAAATCCATCCTTCTTATATGAGAAGTGGAAGGTTGTAGTTCTGCTAAGCAATTGCATTAATGTGAATTTATATTTTCTTCTTCAGTATCGTACTCTTCTAATGTAAAGTTTGATCATCAACTTAGGTGATCTGTGTTGGTGATTGCTAGCTAACACTGAACTTGATGAGGTTAGGTAAACTGCTCGACGTCCACTGACCTGCCTGTCAGATGATTTATCCATAACTCAACGACATTTCGCCGGCCACATATAAGCATCATGTGCTTGAAATGATCAGTTCGATTTTAGTACCCCTGTGAATGCTTTGGTTCACATTGTTGAAGTTTGTCACAAAAAGTCCGTGCTAAGTAATTCCATTAAAAATACTGCAAAGCTGTATAAATGTTAGAACTGATTGTTCTTAAGCCAAGTGTTGAGTAAAATCGTTCGTTACTGAGGCAACACTTGTAACGAATAGAGCATACTCAGTGGATTACTACTTGAAATTCCTGAGAGTGAAGCTAACATTTTGTAAAATATTTAGTTGCAACGTCACTTTCAAAAAGCGCCAATATTTTTTTAAAAACTTACGACTATAAACCAACTTGAGCTATTATGATAAGCCCAATTATTCATCGAAATCAAAAAATGTTCCAGCATCTGATCACCAATACACTAAACTACCTCAGTCAGCTGTTATTTGTTTGTTTATCTGTTTTCAAAAATTCTGCGCTCTGGATCTTCTGATGGCTGTGGATGTTGTGTTTGAGATTATATAGTTACTGTTGTGTTCGTATGCATATGTAAGTCAAAGGCTTCATAGTTTTAAAGTATTAGAGCTTTTAGCGCCAGCTTCCCATAGTCCACATTCTGATATATTCCTACTATTTGACCTTTTCACGTACGAGGTTTTAGACGGTGAATGTCGAGAATCCCCAGTTTCTCTACTTTTGAACTATATCACCAAGTAGTACTTAAGAATATTTAACAAATACAATTAGATATTGATTGCCATTGCTCTGTGTATCCTACCAATAGCATGGTCCTGCATCTTAAACACTAAGGATAGTTCAATTGACTTACGTTAATCCTAAATATCCAATCTCACTTCGAATTTATCAACAGAAGGTGCTTGTATTACTTCTCCTGGCAGAAAGTCCTAGTAGTCTACTATTCGATGTGAAAAACGCGACTCTGTATGTAAACAATTTGATCTTGGTTTTTGAACTTCGAGTGTTCTTCAAAGCACCAGTCCTTACTGAAAGAAAAAAATGGTACGTATTAACACCAAAATCATTCTCAGCATATTACAAGTCATTATTAAAAGATCTCAAAGCTTGTGATAAGACTACTGAAACAGGTTGAGGCATCTATCTTTCATAAAATAGGTCGACGAGATCGTTCATTATTTGGTCCCCTCTCCATCGAACTCGCTTTGTATCAGGACTCGTTGCTTGAATCCCATATTTATATGTAAACCCATAAGCCGTTTATGGCATCCTAGGCATTTCTTCATCTAATTAATGAGATGACTTACGAGTAACTTGTAAGACCCTAAAGCTTTTAACAGTAGCAACTTTACAGTTACTCGCGTTTCTGAGTTTTCTGTTAATTATGACTTCTATGCCTGTATGATCTAGTGGTTTACGCAAAAGCATTCCATTCATGAATTGTCGTATTTATTTGTATGCATCACTACATTTGCTAGGATTAACTTCTGATGACTCACTCTGCTAGTGAGTTCGGGTGTTGTAATATTACCTGACATGCAGTGTATGGATCTACAAATCTTGATGTCATCGTTAAAAAGCAGAACAAACAATTTTATTACAGTTGGTAAACCATTTACATAACTTCGTTTGTTAAACTCCTTTGTGGCATGGTTGATTCAGTTTAGCTTGTGCCTTAAACGTGTGGAAGATTAGGACCCAAAATCATGATTAATTTATGTCCTCTTTTAAACAGAAATGTAGCTTATCTAATCTACAAAGCTAAAGTATCCAACTGTCGACACCTATACAAAAGAAATAACCTAGATCTCTATCGTTAAGAATCGCTACTAATATTTAGTGATATGAGTGTGCACACCTGGATTTCTGCAGTTCTGTTTCTGGGACCGTAAAATTCATAAGTGGACAAAATTCTGTTTCTTTTGAACCACATTACCATCAGAGTACTGTGTTTGTACAGGTTTTGACTTAAAGCAGTAGTTCACATTAAATTTCCCAATGATTTCAACCTCAGCCTTTTTATTTTATTCGAAAAACTGACATAAATGGCTGGTAAATATGCTGCACATGAATAAGAAAAAATTGGGAAGAAACGGCAAAGAGGAAAACTAATTGAATAGAAATGACAAGGACAATTTATACTAGGGCGTTCAATTTCAAAAAAGTACGACCGGAAACTTTCATTTGAAGTTCCTCTCTTTTATGAGGAATTTAAGAGTTAACAATAACAGGACTTTCACCGGCCTCTGAGTCGTGTTCGAGTTGTAGCATACGTAGGATTCCAACCAGGGAGTCATCGTAAATCGATAAATAATTATCTTTCACAGCTTTACTTCATATCGTGACCCCACTTCATAAACTGACCACCTCGCTTTTTCACCCAGTCTCACCATCGGCAAATAACGCACAATTCGAAAATCTCTGAAATAGCATTTGTAAACCAATTCCACGCCACCGAGGTCGATGTTTGATACTGTTGAGAAGTATGTCAGCATTTCATGAAGCGTAAGGTACGGGATTCTCCAAACAACCCTGTTCTGGGTCTCTAAGCACTATTCACTCTTTTCGTGTCTGCCTCCAATTTTTGACGCAACGTGTACACCAGCCTTGAGGGTTCCAAGTTAGTACTTGCTTTGTAACGTAACTTAGTGGTTTTCGTAGTGTTCAATTCATCTCCAGCGTCTCTCCATAATTTGCCTCTTGGTTTAAAGCTGGTTTGTTCGCTGCCACCATAGGTTATTGCTGATGGTGCCCAGCCTATGAATATGGAATATGTTGTGTAAACAATTGTCCATAAATTTTAGTACCTTTTAATAATGTTTGAAATGGTGCTATAAGTTTCAGCTCCGTACAACAGAACTGTTTTGACATTTTTATTGACGATTCTGGCATTAGTGTTAATTAATAGGTGTTTTAAGTTCCAGATGTTCCTTAACCATAGAAATGCTGCCGTATTTTATCAGTCTATGCCTTCTCATGTGCATTAGATCCCATTCGTTTATCACTGGTGCTGTCCAAGTACGTAAAAGTCTCTATGTCCTCTTGTACTCGATCAAGTGTGATTTAGTTGTTGCTCGGTGAGTTGTATTTCAGAATCTTGCTTCTACCCTTGTGAATGTTGGGATGTACTGCTGTGGAAACGGCTGCTGCAGTCAGCTCCACCAGCATTTGTTGCTGTTTGGAGGTAGGAAAGCTAAGTAATCTGCAGAGTACTGCAGTGTCAAAAAAGGTTTCATAAGATTCTCCTACTCACGTCGAACGCTTTCCCATAATCAAGAAAGTTTATGTTTGGCAACTAGTTCCTTTGAATCAATTAATGGACAGTGATTCGTAGTATCGCACAATCGATCCTTACGGAACCTAGATTGTTGATCTCGAAGCTACTGGATCTCCCGTTTTGTTCAACAACACTTGTAAACTTTTCCTGTTACTGATAGTAGTGTGATGTCTTTGTAGCTCTCATGCTAGGGTCTTTATTTTCTTGATGCGATATCCTTTTTTCTAGTCTTTTGGTACTTTACCTTCCTCCCTAATTTTTTGAAGAGCATGCAAAACATCTCAGTTAACTCTGTTGGACTTCGGTGCTTTGGTTAGTATGCTGTCTGGTGTTGCTGCTTTGTCACTCTTAATATGTCTAGTAGCTTTGCTAATTTCTTCGATTGTTGGTGTGGTAATATCTATGGGAAAGTTTGGGTACTGCTTTGATAAATCATAGATTTAGTGGGGCTGGTCTGTTCAAGACTTCTTCGAATCGCTCTACTCAACTGTCCTGATGTTCTTGGATCTCAGTGATTAGTTTTCATTCTTTGTTTTGAATTGGTTGCTTGTGTTCGCTTTATTTTCCAGCTAGCTCCATTTTTTCATATAGCTGTCTCAAATTTTCTTCTCTTGCAGCGTTTTCGGTTGCTATTGCTAGATATTCCTCATATTTCCGTTTATCAGCCCTAATGCTTCTCTCTACTTGTTTGCCTCTGTATCTCGGCATTCTCTGATCTTTTTTCGACTGTTGTTGATTTCTGTCTTGTTCTTCCTACATTTTGCCTAGGCTATCAACAGAGATTCACTTCTAATGATGGTGCTTCTTGTATCCAAATGCTTCTTTGACCCCTTCCCAGTTGTTATCCGTAGTCATTTCGTCTGAATAGATTTTGTAGGGCTTGGAGCCTATTGCTAAGAGCTATCTTGAATTTACATTGTCAGTATCTCGAAGAGAGGCTGTATCGAACTTTTGTAATACTTTTTCTTGAGTTGTATAATGCTTCTTTAAATACAATTTCATCTGGGCCACCACCAGGTAGTGATATGAAGCTACGTAAACTCCTTGCTTTTTTCTCATGTCTTCCACGGACCTTACAAACCCTTTGTTGGTGCAGATCTAATCGGTTCGGTTCTCTGTTCTGTGATCCTCTGAAACCCATAAAGCTTTGTGCACGCATTTTTAGGGGAATATGATGCCACCTATAACCGTTTTGTTGAAGACAGATTTGTGAGTCTCTCACCGTTCCGGTTCCATTCTTTCAGTCCATATCTTCCTATGACATCTTCATATCCAGTGTTGTCTATCCCAACCTTGATGTTTAAGTGTCCCTTTAGTATGGTCAGGTTCTTTTCTGGGCATTTCTTTACTACTGACTGTAGCCCGTCATAAAGCTGATTTTTATCGTTTCTACTGTTATCATTATACTTGTACTGCTTATGTAGGGTAGCGAAATAATTTTTGTTTTACTTTTCACTTTAAGGTACCTTTGCTATGCCTCTGCATGTAGATCCACGTAAACACGAACTTCTGGAAGCTAGAATTCAAGGAACTAACCATATAAGATCAAATAGTAATGCACCTCCTCCCACTAAGTCTGATTCTTATGCTTCTGGATATATGTTTCCGATAACAGAAGAACCTTCTCGCACTCCAGAACACTCAGTTTTACGTGGTTCTTCCAGTCCATTTAGTTCGGTCGGTGAACACGACCTAAGTACTAGTAGCAGTGATCTTAAGCTAGTTTCCACAGTAGTTCCTTCGATATCAGTTGAATCAAATGAAAGAATTCCGAGTTCAGCAGATCCGAGCAAGAAGTCACACAACCCAAATTGCCAAAATAGTAATCGATTAGAGATCACTAATCCAGGTCCTACTGTTCAAAATTCACATATGCCGCCTGTTCAGTCACAAGCTAACAATACAACTTCACCTACAACTCCGAAAAACAATAAAATCCTTTCAAGTTCAGTTGGCGAATCTGATAACATATCAAGTGATGGCTTTCTCAACTCCCTCATTAAATCGGATGATAAGCTTGTGGAAGCTTCGGCTCCTTGTATCCCAGTAAATCCTCTTGGCTCACCTCAATGTCTTCAGTATGTTTCAAGATCGAATTCAATGCACACCCCAACTACTGTTGCAGGCAACAGTCCTGTGAAACAATCCCATACATTTGTAGATGAAAAAAATGTTCCTTATTCTACATTCCAACTATCTGTTCAACCGTCTACAGCATTTATTGAGACAAACAATCCTGCATACCACTTATCCCCTTCGATAGGACCAGTTACTCCAACTCCTGATGGACAATGTGACTCATTACTATCTCGAAATGGTACGAAAAAACGGCGAAAATTAATGAGTTCTGATGAAGGTCATACACCGAAACCTAAAAGAACAATTTGCCAAGAACGTGGTTCCAAGCGTATCGATGAACTTTTTAAAGTGAGTTATTCAGTTTTTTTTCTCCTACAATAAACCTTTCATTCTTTACACTATCATCTAATCAATCCGCTTCGTAATAATTAGGTAACTAGAACTATAAAAAATCTCAGGACATATAATTAACGTCTACATAATCTACCAAGTGATATTCTAGGTTCATTGAAAGTCTTGACTCGTATTTATTTTTATCAGTGAATCGATAGGATAGTTTATCGAAGTATTTGACCCCATCATCATAATGTGTATATTGTTTCTTTTGCTCAATTGACTACTACTGCTATTATGGATTGTATTTCTCAGCCTAGAAACTCAACCGGTGTTCCACTAGAATCGATTTTTCACGAATATATATATATATGTGTGTATTACGAGAATTCAATAGTTTAATCATAGCTTTTATCTTCACTTGTCTATTCTCTCATTCAGTTCATGCCTGGTCCATTATATTCATCCTGTGGTTCAACCAGTCCAACACAAAATCCTCGTCTACAGAGCCCTGTAAGTCTACATCCTATATATATATATACATTCAATGTTGAGATTTTCTACACAAACTGTATAACAATATTATATTAGATCAGTTAGGATTTAACATTATGTTTCATTCTTTACTAATAATGTCAAACACAATTTTCTCATATGCATTCATTATGTGGAAATATTTTTCATGAATTGATTGCACTAAAGATTTTCAAAATGAATGATATCATAACCGAAATATCCATGTTTTCAATATTATTCTACTTTTACGAGTTTCACTGACTTTATTTTTATAATTCTTGAATTCGTTAGCTAAATTAATGCATGTATCATTTCTCTATTATAGAACACAAGATAACTTAGTACACATGTGTGTACTGGACTTTGAGCTGCATTTTATGTAACAGCCAGTGAATACTCATACCTGTCTACCTTAACTGATGTAGGAAAATAAATGCTTAGCTTTCAGTAACAAGCTTATTATCGATAAGTGTCTGACTTTCAGATTTAGATAGACCAACTTGTTGGAAGCAATGCTGTTGTTAGGAAACGGGTACTAGGTAAGGATGGCAGGTCAATAGATGAAGCAGTGAAACTTCATCAGTTGAAGTGGTTGGGATATGTGTTGCGAATACCTAACCACCGACTTAGGTTTTGCGATGTAGGAATAGGTTGGAAAAAAGCTAGGGGCGGCCAAACCAAAACATGGCAGAAATCCATGAAGTCACTGACAAGTGGACTGAGTCATGTCGGTAGGTGTCAATTACCTGGTTGGGGCTTACGAGATCATAGTAATCGATGGTTAGGGACCCCGAATGACATGGCTCAAAATCATTTGCAATGGTGCAGGTGCATTCCTTCTAACCTTCAGAGTTCCTCATCACCTTTATCTTTGTAAGTTTCTTTCACTAGATTCTACTTCTTGAATAATATCTTCTAACCTTAATCTCTCTGATTGGTGATAATATTTCTACTACCTCTGAGAAGACTGAGGCAGGCTCAATAGGCTGTATTTGGCAAATTTACACTCTTAGTCAATTAAAAACGATTACATTACATTGAACACTCCATTTGCACACCATCTTTGAGTCCTGACTTCCAACGCTCCAGCCTTCTTCCATTCCTGCTGTTGCTTCCTTTACTTCCTGTCGGTGCTCTATTTCTTTCTTGCTTTTGCTCTATTTGCTTTCCGTTTTCCTCTTCTGACCGTAAGACTTCTTCTTTCACGTCCATTCTTATACTACTTATATCGTTCGTATAAGTAGCACACACCACACCTCTATTACTATGAGATTTGAAGTGAAAATTTCGTCTCTGTGCTAATGTTGTAGTATGGTAACATGAACTGGTATACGTACGTACAAAGTTCTGTGTTGTAACTGACTGACTGACTGACTGAATTTTCAGATGAACTTTGTTAATTATGGATATGATAATATGTCAAATCATCAATGTAGTGCTCTCAGGCCTCCAATGATTGTCTAACTTAGATCAGTTGTATGATCATAATTAAATCCAACAATCTCCGCAACCCCTAAATCTGACAAAATCAAATTCACTAGCAATTGGAAATAAATAAGTTGCTATTATCATTCATATTTTTTTTTTATAAGAAACAGTAGTATAGTGTGATCATATCAATTAATTATATTTAATGTGTTCTCATCTATGTAAACCAACTAACTGTAAAACAAATGAGATGTTAAATAAACTCTTGTAGGCTATCTATCTACCGAAAAAAAAACAGACTATTTGACTCGCTAAAAGTGTTAATAAAGCTAGAATGGTAAACTCGAAATTGCAAATAATATGTGAGTCAAACAATGTTTGCTTACATATTAATATTCTTTAGAACTAACTAATAATCAATAAAGTTTACATGATAATTGACAGGTAGAGAGCTATGACACAATGATGATGATAATGTGTACAAGGTATACTATACATACGTAACTAGTACCGTATGGAGGAAGATCGATTACTCTCTGCTCAACAATCATCTTATTTACAGTTATTTTGTATTGTAAATGATTATGGACTGATTAATTTGTTAATAAGAATTTAAGGTGAGTAGGAGCAGGAGGAGGAGCTGATTTCTTTTTACACTTTGCTTTGTTTTGTTTAATTTAGTCACCTACAAGTGGCCATTCTCTTGATAATCAAATGGTTGGCATAAATCATAATTACATCCCATCATTGAATGAAGCAGTGACTACAAGTTGTGCCAGTAACGATCAAATAGTGATCACATCAGTAACAGGAGCTCAATATGCAAATAACGCGGCTACTTTCCAATTGTCACCTGTTCGTGCCAATAGTACAGCAAGTCTAAGTGATAGTTCTGGTGAAAACCCTGTATCAATGGTTGGTTTAAGTATGGCTGCAAATGTTAACGCTAATCCAACTTCTTGTACAATGCCATGTAATGCTACTCCATTGCCTACTTATTCTTCTAACCTTCAAATACCTGCTAATATGAATTCATCTCAACCACAAACTGGGCAATCTAATGTTGGTTATTTAAATCCTGGATCCGGTCCAAATAATCCCATTACACCAAATATTCCTGGTGTTTCTGCTTCATGCACAAACAACTCCAGATCTCATGTTGGAGTGCAAACAGATGAAACTGTCACTCCATCGTCAACTGCCGAATGTGTGGAAGATTCACAATGCACAAATACCACATCTTTGCATAATAATAATAATATTAATAATCCTCCTTTATTTACAACCGGTGCACCGGCTTCACCTGTTCCGCTAACCACTGTTGAAAGTCTACAACGTCGAATAGCTGACTTAGAACATGAAGCTGTTGTTCAACGAGAGACTATCACAAAATTGCAAGAGAATGCTATTCGTTCTCGTGAGATGATACGTGAATTATTGATTGAAAAAGTAAGTTAGTTAACATTCTATCTGATTGCAATCAATTACACTATTATTATCTTTGGTTATCTCTGAAAATTAATGTAATTTTTACTATTCTAATAAATTTCTAATTGTATAACACGTTATTTTTTTTATTTTATTTTAGAGTTTACTTGAAAGGAAAACTACACGTCAAAAGGTGATGGAAAATCGTTTACGATTAGGTCAATTCATCACTCAAAGACAAGGTGCTCATTTTGAAGAAAAATGGATTGAAGGTTCACGATTTAAAGAATTAGATCAGTAAGTTCTGTTTTAATAACAAAAAAAAACATTCAAAAATTACTGCGAAACATGACCAGTCAAAGTAGAAGATATTCGTAGGTTACTGGTTTTCGAGCATCGGTGTCTCCGAAGCATTGCTCATTTATCTTGGGACTGTCGAGTAAGAAATGCTGTTAGGAAACGGTTACTAGGTAAGAATGGCAGATCCATAGGTGAAAAATTGAAAATTCATCAGTTGAGGTGGTTGGTACACGTGTTACGAATGCCCAACCACCGACTACCTCGTCGAGCTATGTTTTGCGATGTAGGGATAGGCTGAAAGAAAGCTAGCGGTGGCCAGACCAAAACATGGCACAATTCTACGAAGTCACTGACAAATGGATTAAGTCATGTTGGTAAGTGTAGACTACCTGGTTGTGGTCCGCCAGACGATACTAAACGATTGTTCGAGACCCTAAATTACATGGCTCAAAATCGTTTGCAATGGCGCAGGTGCATCCACTCTTTGTGTTCTCTCAAATTCTAATCTTCCCAATTCCTCATCACCTCTACCTTTCTCCTGCTAAACTTATCTCGCTGAATTATACTGCTTGAATAATATTTTCGAACCCTAATCTCTCCGATTACTATGGGATTTGAAGTGACAATTGTGTCTCTGTGCTAATGTTGTGGTATGGCAACCTGAACTGATTTATGTACTTACGAAGTTCTACGTTGTTACTGACTAACTGACTATAAGCAATCCATTATTATCCCAACTGACTGTGATAAGGATTGTTTTTTCTTCTAAACATTGCAACAAAATTTTTATAATATATATGTGATTAATTGTTTGTGAAAAACATACAAAACTATTGAACATTGAAGCATAGTTATGAAATATAAACAAATTAAGTAATTCTTGTTTTGATTTCTATCCATGTAGAATTGAAACCTATCTGTTCCTAGTTCGTACTAAGTATCCATGTTTATATATGCACGCATAGTTTGTCACGATTATCATAATTCATTTCATACTTTACCTTTTTCTGTCATTTTTGTTTATTTTAGACGTCGTAAAAATATTGAACTTGTACGTGAAGAGATTGAACGTAAAAAGAAACAATGGAATAAACGTAAACCAAATGTTGGTGATGCTAAAAAGAGTACTAAATCAAAATATGATGAGTAAGTTGTAGTTTATTTTTTTTTACTGTTGGAACCAATGTTATATTTAAAAATATTGAATAGAAAAATCAAAGACATCTTGAGTGACACAGACAAACTGTCGATGCTCCAAATTCCCTGGCGTAGCCAGGGGTGGGGGAAACCAATTTTTTCTCTAGAGGAGATGCTCTCATATGGTCATGCATTATAGCGACTGCCAGCAAAGTCCTACTCAATGCCTTCTCGTGATTACTTACTTACTTACGCCTGTTACCCCCAATGGAGCATAGGTCACCGACCAGTTTTCTCTAATCAACTCTTTCCTGGGCTTCCCTTTCCAGTTCTGTCCAATTTTTGTTCATTCCTCTCATATCTTTCTCTATTTCTCGGCGTAATGTGTTTCTTGGCCTTCCTCTTTTCCTTTCGCCCTGAGGATCCCAAGTGAGGGCTTGTCTTGTGACGCAGTTCGGTGCTTTTCGCAGTGTGTCCTATCCACTTCCGCCGCTCCATCTTGATTTTCTCCTCCACTGGAATCTGGTTTGTTCTCTCCCACTGTAGGTTGTTGCTGATGGTGTCTGGCCAACGAATCCGAAGTATTTTGCGTAGACATCTGTTAATAAACACTTGTATCTTCTGGATGATAGGTTTCATAGTTCTATAAGTTTCCGCTCAATACAATAGAACTGTCTTGACATTTGTATTGAAAATCCTGATTTTGGTTGACAGTCGTTTGGAGTTCTAGATATTTTTCAACTATAGAAATACAGCCCTTGCTTTGTCGATCCCCGCCCTCACATCCACCTTGATTGTCGATTATGCTGCCCAGATATGTAAAGGTGTTAACGTCCTCCAAGGCCTCTCCATCAAGAGTGGTTTGGTTGGTGCATGTTGTGTTGCAACGGAGAATTTAGCTTTTTTCCTCTATGTATGTTGATGGTGGTATCGTATGCGAAATCGGGAAAACGAAATGCGGATGTCCGGCGCTTAAACCGGATTAGTGGGTACGAAGTAGTCATCTAGAAGACTTAGAAAACCCTTACTCCAAATGAATGGTGCAAATGAGCTCCTGGACCCGATCGTAGCTGCTGGGGCTTGCCTACCGTAATGACTCAACCGAGCTATATTGGCGAGAACCCATGTTCTTTTTGATCCTTCTTTGCCAGACAGGTCGATTGGAGAACAGTAAGCCTGAAAGTAACAACTCAAAGTCTGAGAGCGAAGTCGTACTACGGACTGTAGAGCATTGTGACAACAGTAAGGTATTCTCCTCGAACAACTGTCATCTGCAGCAATGCTGCATGATCATAAGGGATGATAGGATATATGAACCTATTGTCGGTCACTGGCTGTCATGAGACTGCATCTCATAACATTTCTCCATTGTCTTATAGATTAGACCTGTGTGCCATGTGCTTGGAACGTCTGTCCACTTGTTTTGTTTTGTACATCGTACAATATCCCAACCCAGCTCACAAAATGAATAATTTGTGTGGCACATAAATATTTAAGTTTCCCTTTATATGAATGTTTATATGTCTAAGTATAATAAATAAGCTTGCAGTGTTTATGTCCATTCCAGTAATAAGATGAATAATTTTTTTGTAAAATTATTGACCTTTAAGATGAACCTAGATAGTGTCATTGAATTTTAACAACTGGAAAATAAATAAAATGTCTAAAACATTTTTTAAATAACAAGAAAATAATTGTAAGATAATATATGATATTTACATGTTGGAAAAAATTAAACTAATGTGATCAATTGTGGGGTGAATATTAATCCTACGGCCGTTTCCTCCCGGTATGGGACTCATCGACAGTGCGCATCCACGACTCCCGCCACTCGCAGGATTCGAACCCAGGACCTTCGGTCTTGCGTGCAAATCCCTAACCTCTGGACCACTGAGCCGGCCGGCATCGAACAGTGTTAATGTCCATCTCCGATTAATCTAGGGATGAGTCCCATACCAGAACGAAACGGCCGTCATTCACTGCTTCCAGGTTTCTTATGGTGGTCTAAGAGTAATTGACTGGTGATTTCAGTGTGTAAAAACACGGGTCTTCATAACTCTATCTGAAAAATTTACATAATTACTACTTATTACAAAACCCAACTATCAAGTACTTGTTTATGTACTTGACTTCCAACCCCGATTTAGTTTTATCAGATTTAGGAATATTACCAGACCTTCGTAACAGAAAGTAAGGTTGCATGTTTGAACCTGTAAACTATCGGTTAAAAGTCAATTGTTTTAAAAGTGCATTAATTCACATCATCTTAGCTGTAAATTATTCATTAATTTTTTTATGGAATAGTTTAAACTGACACTTAACTGTATCCCACCTATCTTCAAACTTTAACGTTCAAAAATACTACCACTTTAATGCTTACAAATTAATTTGTACTGTTAAAGTCATACTCGTGTACTGTTACTGGTATGAGGGCGGAAGCCACTTCCCGGCTGCCCACACCGCAGAATGGTGTTTCTTAAAGAACCTAAGAAGGAAGGTAGATTACCGTTGGTCCTAGTGACCTGGGAGCGTAACCACAGAGTCCAAGAGATAACTGATTGAAGTCGGTCACACACGGCCTTTATTGTGAGAAGTTTTTAAAGTGTTAGCTCCGCTCTTGTTTAAAAGACCTTACCGCCAGAGACAGAAGTCAGTGAGGTAAGGTGAGGTGTGAAATTTTTAGGATCGACCTTTTCTAACCCCTTACGTTTTGAGAAGGCAGCATCACTGCAGATGCTGATTGTCTGAGGGAAACACCTCACTGCTCTCACACCCCTCTACAGTCAGCAGTACGACTTCTCCATGAGACCTTGAGTAGCTGCTTTTAGTATATTCGTTCTCCAATCGACCTATCTGACTGGCATGGTAGAACCTACAGAAACATATGTTCCAGCCAATATAGCTCGGTTGGGTCATCACAAATAGTGAAGCCCGACCACTACGTCAAGGTAGCAGCTACAGTCGAGTCATACTCTGTTATTTTCTGTTGCCTATTGTCAAAATGATAAATAAAAAAATAGTTGAATATACGAACAGATCATTAGTAGTAATTGTTGTTTTTCTTTCTCTCTCTGCAGAGTCTCTGTAGACGAATTTTATGAACAATTAGAAATTTATGATTTACGTAAACAAATGCTTGTTAAAGAAGATAAAGAAATTCAAATGGAACTAGAACGTTTAGATCGTGAAAGAAATTTGCATATTCGTGAAATTAAACGAATTTCTAATGAAGATGCATCACGTTTTAAAGATCATCCATTATTGAATGAACGATATCTATTGTTGAATTTATTAGGTAAAGGTGGATTCTCAGAAGTGCACAAGGTTGGTTGGTTGGTTGTTTTGATATTTTGCTTACAATATGAAAAATAATACATTTACGAATGTAGACATCATTTAATTGGTGATGATTGTGTTTTAATAATATCCATTTCTATACCAATCAGAATTTACACGTCAAACAGTACAGTGTAATTAATGTTATGTAACACATGTTCCAAACAGTTCAGTCGTTAACACTATGACTAAAATATCCAAGATTATATTTTACTTGTGATTCATCAACACCTCATACTTTAGCTCATGTTAATTAAAACGTAAACAACCACGTCACACAATCTGTTTATTCTTCAATCCCTTGGAAGTACCAAACAGTCAGTCAGTCAGTTACAACGTAAAACTTCGTACGTTAGTGCTTAAGTTCAGGTTGCCATACCACATTAGCACAGAGAAGCAATTGTCAATTCAAATCCCATAGTGGTAGAGACAGTAGAGGTATTAATGGTAATGAAGAAGACTAGGGTTCGAAAATATTATTCAAGAAGTATATTTACGTGAGATGACTTTAAAAAGAGAAAGATGGAGATGATAAGGAAAACTGAAGATTAGAATTTCACAAAACACAAAGAGTGGATGCACCTGCGCCATTGCAAACGGTTTTCAGCCGTGTCTTTCAGGGTCTCTAACCGTCGATTACTATCATCTCGTGGACCACAACCAGGTAGTCTACATCTACCGACATAACTAAGTTCACTTGTCAGTAACTTCATGGAATTGTGCCATGTTTTGGTCTGGCCGCCCCTAGGTTTCTTCCAACCTACCCCTTACCAGTAAAATATCGCTTGTCTAGGGAGTCAGTGGTTAGGCATTCGTAACACAATGTCCCAACCACCTCAACTGATGAAGTACTGATCAGTTGGCTATCAATTCTTAAAGTTCCACTCAAATACTATTTCATTGTAGTAACATTTAACTAATTGATAACTATATACGTTGTTGATAACTTTATTTCTTCTTACTTCATATCTGCTATCGTGATTGATTCAATATCATACTAATTACAATGACGAAATATATAGAGACATAGTCTTTATCAATTAATTTCTCTTAACTAAATTTCTTTAAATTATCTTCATGTATTTTTTTTTCTTGTTCATTTCTTCAGGGTTTTGATCTTGTGGCTAATCGATATGTTGCTTGTAAAATTCATCAACTTAATCCTGCTTGGCCTAAAGATAAAAAAGATAATTACATTAAGTAAGTACAATTTATGTCGGTTGATTGTGTATCAGGTTTAATAGAGAAATATTCATATGCTAAACATTCATATATACACACACACACATTGCGTCGTTATTATTTCAATCCTAGTTTAAAAGAGGCTATGCTTTGACATGAACTTGATACTTTGACTCTATCCCACTGATATAATAGCTTAGGCAATTGAGTATTTAACATGCTTATGTGAGTCTTATAAGCAAAATTAAATTATCGAATTCATTTTATCAAAAGATCCGTCAAACTAGTCAGTATAAGGTTGTGGTAATTGTTGAGTGTCATTAAAATCATGAACCGATCTAAGTTAGATCACCATTGAAAACCTGTAAGCACTGAATGATCGTTTTTCTACTAGTATGTTACTACTGCTCTGGAGTGAACATTTACGACCCTGCAAGCGGAAAGTCGAATACAAGACCTTCAGTCTGGCTCCACTGCCTAACCTCTTAACCATTGAGTTGGGATCCAACGATGTCAATGTCTAACTTGAATCAGTCCACGATATTACACAACCATCATCTATTGTCTTTGATGAGTAACGTCCCCATAAAGTGAGTGATCAAGAGATTAAGCGTTGGCGCGAGACCAAAAGTCCCGAGTTCGTTCCCCGCTTGGTGAGTACCATTCCAGATTTCCAATAATGGTCTAACATTGATCGGTTTGTAGTAATTCGATACTAGGTTGCTTTTTTCAGTATCACAGGCATAACAGTCGAAAAAAGTTTAAGTATTCCTTGTTGTAGATTTCTGTTTTCCCTACTCGTATTTTGCTGAGACAATTAATTAAGTAGGGATGTTTGTTTAGTGTTTCATATATATAGCATTTGTTCTTATTTATATCATTTTACATTAACACTGTAACTATCTACTTGTAAACAGATAGATTTTATTATGTATGCACTTGTTCCGATAGATTTTCTCTATTTTGTATTTCATATATACTAGCTATGGCTTTTCATTAAGTCATGTACTATTTATTTTCATTTGAGTAGTATAACCTTAATTGAGATATTTTTTTTCTGTGTAGGCATGCATTAAGAGAAATTGAAATTCACAAGACATTACATCATCCAAGGATAGTAAAAGTGTTTGATGTGTTCGATATTGATCATGATGCGTAAGTTGAATAATCGATTTTCGTGTATTTGTGCTGTGTTGACATTACTCTCTACATTGAAAGCTTATATACTTAGGATGGTTTCCGGCTTTTTTTGTATGTCGAAACATGGTGTAATATATTCCTAAGTTAAATCAAATAAATATGTACAGTTTGCGGCTTGAAATATTACTCATGAAATAATCATCACGTTGCATCAGTGTGTAAAATTTAAACGTAA